AACTGACCCCCTCCCCCCCAAAATTGCGCAGTTGGGACAGTCTAATCCTGTATGACCTCTGAAAGTTCCAAAAAGTTGAAGCTCTACTAGAATGATCATTAAAAATCAAGAACAAAATCCAAGCATCCTCAAACTAGCAAACTATTTCCATTCAACAAGATAACATTCTCGCCTTTAAATCCCCCAAATAAAAAAAATGAACCAAACATTTTCCATTTCACAACATAAAAAAAAACTTATTCCATTCATCCATGGAGTCACTTAAAGTTAAAAAATAAGAAGATGCAAAGAAGAAAACATAAAAACTTGTACATGATTTGATAACATCTTTCAAGGCAACATTTTTACGACTCAAGCTATTAAATTATCAAAATTCTTGTATCTTAAATTACTCATGAAAATTCAAGTTAAAGGAAAAAAAACAGCCACGACCGAATGAGTTCTTTTGCTGTAACAGAGACAAAAATGAAAATGTTCATCGATAAAGTCATGTTGTTTGTAAACTTGAAATTCTTATTTTTCCTTTTTCACAAAATGTAATTTAATTATATTAAATGTTTTCAAGCTCCTCGCCCTCCTTAAATGTAATCTGATGTATGTTTTTCTGTTGCTGTTGATACAATTAATATTATATGAAATTTATTTACAACATTTTTCACATTAAATATAAAATAATCTCTGCAAAATTTACAATTCGTTTACATTTTCTCCGTGCAGTGGGTGGCTCATTAATTGTAAAATGTATTATGCTTCTCAACAATTTAATTTTTCAAGTGAAATAATTATACTGATTTTATTTTTGCTTTCATTGAAATCTTGTAGTTGTAAGTGAATGAATTGAAGTTTCGAGATAGTTTGAAAATAGTTGGAGATAGAGATTATGATGCGTTGACGAAGCATTTTTATTAGAAAGTTTAATGTCATGAACATTGAGCGAATCCTTGTCATATCAACAAAACTACTCTTTGTAATGATTATGAGAGTTTGGCATATAGTGAGATTCGAACCCATGTTTGATCTTATTGCATAATGGTTGTGCCACAGAATCCTTTAATTTACACTGGTAGTTTCGAATTCATATGGCTCGCTGTACTAGATTTCTCCTTTATCAGACACAACAGAAAGGATGTTCGTTTACTTATGAATTCCAAAAAATGGTCATTTTTCAACAAAGAGCAATTGATTTCCAGGAATTTCTATTGTTCTTTTCTAGCTGATCCCCCCCCCCCCCCCCCCCCTCCTTGAACGTCATGAGTTAACGGCCTTTAATAACAAAGATGCCAAAGTTCAGTCAATAGCTCATATGCCGCAAGTCGGTTAATGGATCAGAAATCCGAAGCATGAAGCTGGATTTGGTTTAAATCCGGCTGAAAGCTAGAATCACGCCGACTTGGGGTCAGATTTTTGATCGATGAACTGATTTGTGCTTTTTGGGTATGTTTTCATTGAAAACTTTTCAACCAGGATCTCATCCTAATAATAATATTGATGTGAGAGGGTTCCAGCCAAGCGATGTGTTACTGCACATTGCGATGAGCTGGAGGGACTGCGATCGTGATCGATGATAAAATCTATGGCAACGTTCTCATCCGTATTCTAGGACCAACTTACTCATCCTAGGACCAACCTTATTATTTTAACTACACGAAAATACCGATTATCAGTATTTTGTACAAATGAATGTGTTTATTGCTGTCTTAAATGGATGACGCTTAACTAAAGCATGCATAAAAACAGTGATGGCTAACCCATGTGCCACGGCACTCTAGTTTGCCGAAAAATCGGGAAATCCCACGTTGTGAAGTTTCTGATTTAAGGTTTACCATCACTGTGGGCCGTGGCACGAAAAAGGTTTCCCACCACTGCTTTAAAACGAACTGTTCAAAATATAAGAAAGTAGTACGACCAAATATGCTTTATCATTAAATCCTCACCTATATCATTGAATATAATAATTTTTAATCCTCCCTTAAAGCTTAAAAAGTATCTCTCATCTACCTCTCCCATCCATGCTGGTATAAATTCAATTAAATGAAAAAAACTCAAACTATCCATTCTATTTTATATGAGTTTGCCATCTCATCCCCAAAAACATTTAATAAACGAGCATCAGAAAAGGCGTGAAATAGTAACAGAGAAAGTTGACACAAAACTTAATGAAACCAAATCATGTAGCTGTTAGCTGGGGTGGAAAAACTTTTTCCTATATATGTTGCGGTTTGCTGACACATGTAAAACTGTATGAATATGTATTTGTGTGGTTTTAAAGACTGAAATTCACATGTAATTAATTTTCATTCTTGAACATTTACAAGATGATCTTTTAATTGAATTCTACCACACTTCTGTAGGAGCTTTAAATTTTTTTTAATTTATTAAGTACAAAAAAGTTGCTGTGAAGTTAATCAATATATAATCCTGCCATTTGCCACATTTAATGATTTATTTCTTCCCCAAATTGGAACTTTTTTTTACGTTAAATCATTGGATTTTAATTGTGTTTTAGGCAATGACGATGGGGGGTGCGTAATTCATTTGCCAGCGCTCTCATTGTTCGGCATAAAATACATAATTTCTAAATTGAATAATTTTGCATAATGAATTTCATTCAACACTGGAGCTTCAAAAGTTTATGTCCTTTTTTGGTGCAGCTGTATTTGTCATTGTATATTCGAGTGTTCTTAAGGGGTCATTCGTAAATAATGTTTGTCAAAAATGGTCTATTAAATAGGAGTCATTCAATATGAGATTCTTTCATGCTTGAGAAATTTTCATGCTTGCCAAATTAAGAGTCAGAAAAATTAAATTTTTGGGGTATGTCACATTTTTTGTACCCGACTTAGCTACAGTTTTAGACAGGTTTGTAGCCAAGAGGGTATTGTCCCCCTCTTAAGCGTCTTAGGTCATGCTCTCGCTGTGGTTCATAACGTTTAAAGGGGAAAAGACCCTTCTGGCTACGCGCCTGGTGTTAGTTAAATAAATGAACGATTTCTCAACATTTCTAGAATCCAGGGCTACTCGGGATAGCTTACGCAAATTTGTAGAGCATCGATTTCTCCTAAGGGGCACCTTGTAGCACTATAAACCTGTCCTTGGAAGTCTATATAATGGAATTTCACATACTGAGAAATTATATCAGCTTTTCAATGAAGCGATACGACGAATCAAAGTTAACAGGCTCCGTTGGGCTAGTCATGTTATTAGGAGACCTGCTGAAGCTCCCATTCATAAAGTTTTTAAGTCTGGTTTTGTAGATTTTAAAAGATCACGTGGACGTCCCAAGAACTCTTGGAAAGAAGCTGTTGACATAGACAGTATTGCAATTGGTATTGGTAATTGGCAAGCGAGAGCCAGCTTCAGGTGCAGTTTAAGGGAGGTCATGGATCACAATTGATCTGTACGGCCAGCGAAATAAGTAAGTAAGTAAGAGTAATTATAGTTGTAGCTAGTACGATTGATTTAGTTTAATCTATGTCATTAAAGGCATCAACAGAAAGAAGAAGGATTCATCATTAAAAATTCGCTTTAAAACTTCAAACGCTCTTCCAACTTCCCATCATAATTAATTCACTGATGCTCTTCCTCTCTTGTTCTCATTAGCATGATTTAATTTTTACAGTACTTTATTGTTGTACGTACAAAAATTCTTGATATAGAAATATTTTTAAAGAGGATGAAAATGAGAACGCGGCTAGTTGTAATTAAGCAGCTCTCAACCTTCTATTCATTGACAGGAGCATAATGAATTTTAGAAAATTGAAGTGAACAGAACTGGCAATTTAATATTGAAAATTATGGGATTATTTTTGAGGTAATGTTTATAGCTCATTATGCATGTGCTAGTGATTTGCAATAATTCAGGCTACAAGCTATTAATAATGGAATCTCCATGGACACATAAAAATATGCATGCTTTCATGATTTATACACATTGCATTTTCAATTTTATACATTGTCGAGTACCCTCAAAAAAATTTTGCACATTTTAAAGTGTTGAATTTTATGAATGTGAAACATATTTAGTACTTATCATTTTGGTACAATCACTTCTTGTTATGTTGAGCCTATTGTTTTGATATAATTGCCTCTATAGAAATGTTTATAGCATGTGTTCTGATTGTTATTACAAGAGACGAGAAATAGTGTGAGATTGCAAGATAAGAAGAGAAACAACATGAATTTTAAAGTTCGAGAAACTAGTTTGTTCAATATTAAGATTGTTGAGACGCATTTTGTAAGTGATAAGTAAGTTTTCTTATGTCAGTTCTTGAGACAATGTCCTGTTAGTACCTAGCTCAAGTAGAATACTTGACATGATGTCTATTAAATTACCAGACGTAGAGACGTACAGTGACAATTTTCTAGGAACATCCCTAAGTGTTACACTCGGGTGAGCTGTGATCAGAATTTCGATACAGATGCGATACAGGCACAGGTGACAGATGAGACACAGATATTGTCTTTTAACATGAAGTGCCTTTCACATGCATACATCTGTGTTATCTTTGGATAGATTTGGAAGATCTGTGCCTGTGACAAGCCAAAAAAATATTGCCTGACACATGCACTGCCTGTTAGCAGGTAAGCTTGCGATAGATCGCAACTCTGGATATGATTAACAGAGATAATGGTGTAAGTTGCAACGTAAGGCTTTCGAAAAACTTTAGAAATAATTATGAAAAATTGTTTGGAGGGGGTCCGAACCCGTTGACTATAATCCACAGAATAACTAAGGTCTTGTATTTAACCCTCTCCCCCCTTGATACATCCTAAAAGACCACAATAAAAAAGCCCAATTTTTAATATTCCAAACCTTATAATATTCTCAATATGCATGTTCAATATTAAAATTTTTGAAGCAAGAAGTCACAACCAATATGTACAACAAGAAATAACAATAAAATTTTATTCCTTTCGAAATAATATTATGACGTATAAATAAGGCTTTTAAAAGCCTCAACTTGAAGAAAAATTGATATATGAATGCAAATAATACTTACTCATCTCAAGAAATAATTGATTTACGGTATCATAGGCATCCCAGTATGGAACATCCATTTTCGATTTTACTAAATCACTTTCATTATTATCATCATCTAAACGATCATGCTGACCATTTTTATTATTTTCTCCATCACTCTCCTCTTCCTCCTCATCCTCTCCCTTAACATAATCATCATTCTCTCCATCATCAATTCCATCCAATTCTATTTCATTACTATCGTCCTCATTCATATCGTCAGTTGATTTCGATAACTGATTATTTGGGAAATTTCTTTTGACAATATATCGTTTCATGAGATGTTGCTTAAAGTCACTACTTCCAATGCCGCCTGTTAATGATCTACGATGTCGATTAGTTGTGGATGATAAGGCGTGATAAATGAATTGCGTTTGATGTTGCTGACTTTGTATGGACTCGAGAACAATCTTATCATTATCAACATTTCCTTTCTCAATAATGCTAGTTCCAACGCTTCCGCTTCTGATGTCATTATCAATATTTACGTTCCTACTTATCGCACTACTAATATTTAACATGTCTATGTGGTGTTGATTCTCATGATTTGGCTCTTGTTGATGGAGTAATTGGGAAGACATCAATAAATCAGATGATGATTGTAATGACGATGGTGCTGGTAATGATTCGACTAAATGACTGGTACTACCTAATCGCTTCAATGAATCCATTTCAATTGAATGCTTATTTGAGGGCGTTGCATCACCATTGGGATTCCTATATTTTATTTTATGTGTGAATGTGACCATGAGATTAAGGACAGAAGAAAAAAAAAACAATTTATTTTTTTTTTTGAGCATAAGGAACTAGAAATAGGCAAAATGTTAAGTGAGGCTTGAAATAGCTTACCCTGTTTTTATGAAATTGGCCAAATAATGAATTAATATTCTACTAGTTTGAATGTCTTGCTGCGTGTAATTGTATGAAAATAGTGGTGTCATTGGAAGTCCGAAACAGAAAGGCACATCTTCGCCACGTACAGTTCCAAATCTCTGCAGATAAATAAAGAAAAGATTTAGTAAGGGTTTTAAAAAAAATTTAATATAAGGCATTTTTCTCTGTAGAATCTAAAGTTGATGCTTTGTTGACTGACTTTTTATATTCCTAGCATTTTTCAATCCCTTTGAGGCTTTAATTATTTACTGAATCTTTTATCAAACATTTCTTAGAATTTGTTTGTAGCTTAAAGGTTTAATCGTGGTTACAAAATATAGCAAATCCAATTAAGGCTATTTTATTGGCGTTTACATCAATTGCTTATATGAGACCAATGCAATATGTTTTTATATGTTCTATTCATTTTCAATTTCTTTCAATATCCTTCAACCTCCTGCAGCGTTTGATTTGATTTCTTAGAAGCTGAATGTTAACATTCGAATTTCAATAGAATCATTTATAATGCTGCTAACATACTTATAAAGCTATTTACAGTCTTTTAATATGATTTTTATTATTTTTTTTGAATTAATCATCATTAAGTGTTGGAAAACATGTTATTCTACAAATAGTAAAAAATTAGCTGTGAAGACCTTAAGATCCACGATGCATGCATTCCCGAATGGCACAAATCGCTAAATCGAACAGAAATCCGGCACCCAGCAGGCATGACTCTGACATGGTGCTAGTTTCGATTTAAATCCAGCACCATGCCAGAGTCACACCTGCTATGTGCTGGATTACTGATCGATTGAACCGGCTTGTGCCATTTGGGATTATAAAGCTAGTGTCAGTTTAATGAATAAGATCTTCCTCTCAAACCTTGGACTACTTCTTAAAGTAGGATTTAAACTCCTCTTTTGAAAATATTTCTGTCTGAAGCCTTCAAAGCAGGTTGAGTTGGTGTTGCAATAATTGAGGACTGAATTCTTAAATCAATTCGTCATAGAGCCATAGAGTCATCTCAATGTAGGCAACTTAGAACAAACTGTTTGCTGAAAGTTGATGCTGTGCAGAATCTTGCAATACAGTAGACTTTCAAGAACTCTAGTTTTAGCACATTGTTTTTCAGAGGACAGTCCTCAATTTTTCAAAAATAAAATAGTTTTGTTTTGTTCTAGTTCGTCCAGAAAACGAATAAAATTGGACCCCCTTTAAGTTACTTTTAGGTCCTCTATTTTTTCAGATATACCTGGTCTCATTGGCTGAAGATTTCATTTTTTATTTAACACTACATGGAAGCAACCTAATTCCTTGCTTTTTTTCATTTAGCATTCAACAATAGCTCATTCATCCATAGCAACAAAATCTGCGCTCAATCATAAAAATTAAAAAATTCATAAACAACAAGAATTTTTTTTCATATTTTCCATTCTCGCCTGAAAAATATCCTTTTAGTGCTTTCAATTAGACTTTTTTGTTGCAAAACACCGAAAAAAAAGAGAAGCAAAGTTAGTAGGATGGATGAGCAAGAAGAAGGTAAAAATATTATCATAAATAAAATAGCAACATTATGCTGTAATTGTCTGTAGAGGAACAATACGAGAATTGAAGGTAGAGATGAGTAGAGAAAGAGCATGGAACAAAAGAATGATGAGTCGGATAATGTGAATTTCTATGAAACATAAATGAATGGATGAATGGATGAAAGGGCAATCCTAAAGGATTGTAATGTTATGGAAAGGTACGGTAGTATTATGTCATCAGTTGAAGGAGCATTCTTTGCTTCTTGTATTTCTTAATATATTGCAGACAATCGTGTGCCAATAGGTGCTGCTTTGAATAGTTAAATCAACTTGAGTAGTCAAGCGCAGATTGAGATTGAGCTCAACTTCAAGCTAAACTTGAATTTGACATCTTCAATAACTCAGCCAAAGCCCACATTGAAGCTCTTCAAGTTCAGCTAGAGATTTACATGAAGCTGAGCGGTTTGTCAATCTTAGCATTAAATAAACTTGAAGCTGAAAGCTTTGACGAGCTTAAAGTAAGCACAAATTGAATCTTAATTTCAAAACTCGAACTGATGCTGCGATGCTAAGCAAGCACAGCTTTATCATCCTTAAAACCTTCAAATAAATCAATTGGCACACAAATCCATTATTACATCGTGCGAGCCCAATGGAAAAGAAGAAATATAGTAAGAATACCTCAATAGAATTGAGGTAACAATTCTTTTATGAAGCAATATTATTTTAACAAAGAGTGAAAGAGAAATTTTGCTCTATTCAGTTGAACATCCATCCAAAAAACAACCCGTACGGAACGAAAAAAGGGAAGAAGAAAAAGTTTTTTTTCCTTCTCATTTATTTTATTCCTTTGAATCCTCGCTTTCTATTCTCTATCTCTCATTGAATTCATGCTTATGATACTTTCTTCTTCATGCCTAGTTGCTGGTTGTATTATTTCATTCCTTTTTGTTACACTTTCGTATTTTTTCTTTCACTTCCTAATATGGATTTATTTTTCTTTACATTATTTTCTTGAAACCGGAGATGGTAAGAATAGATTTGAAGTTTGTTTCTGTTCATGTTTATTCAACAAACCGTGTCACATAATGGGAATATAAAAAAAATATCTTCAACATCATTTGATTCTTAAAAAATGCTTTTGGTTCCATAAAACTGCCTCCTATTGATCGATAATGCCCAATAATATCAAAATAAATCAATTAGCAACTTAAATTTAGCAATTGTCATATGAAAATTTTAATATTTGGTTCGGTTACTGGAAATAGCGTTGGGTGTGAGGGTGGGTGAACGAACCAAATACTTTTTTCCAGAGTTCAAATCCCAAAAAAAAAAAATCTCAAAGAAAAAAAATCAAGGAAAAAATGATTGAAATTCTTTTTTGCAAAAATGTATGAAAAAAGGCATAAAAATGCCCAAAAGTATTGGTTCCTGTGAACCATTTGATTTAATTTTTTTTTCAGTCGATGCAGCTTTATATGCTGATTCTTAAAAATTGCTTTTGGTTCCATAAAAGTGCCTCTTATTGATCAAAAATGCCCAATAATATCAAAATAAATCAATTAGCAACTTAAATTTAGCAATTGTCATATGAAAATTTTAATATTTGGTTCGGTTACTGGAAATAGCGTTGGGTGTGAGGGTGGGTGAACGAACCAAATACTTTTTTCCAGAGTTCAAATCCCACAAAAAAAAATCTCAAAGAAAAAAAATCAAGGAAAAAATGATTGAAATTCTTTTTTGCAAAAATGTATGAAAAAAAGCATAAAAATGCCCAAAAGTATTGGTTCCTGTGAACCATTTGATTTAATTTTTTTTTCAGTCGATGCAGCTTTATATGCTGATTCTAAAAATTGCTTTTGGTTCCATAAAAGTGCCTCTTGCTGATCGAAAACATAAACTTAACAATTTTAACTTCTAATCGAAAATGTGCGTTCAACTTTAAATTCCCAACACTTCGTCAACTTTACATCATAATCACATCTCAACCATACCAATATCACCTAATCACATCTCATCTCACCTGTGGAAAATCTCGTTCGCTCGTTCGATGCTTAAATTGCATAAAATACGACTTTCCACCTCGTAGACTGTGTAAATAACCCAATCGTACAAGTGGCGCAACTGTGTGTCCATCACTCAATAACTCTAAGGCAGCATCTCTCGATCCCAATTGATTTCTGGGCGGCTGTTCCCAGTATGTGTATTCATTCTAATGGAATAATAGGATGGAAATTGAAGAAAGAGATAGGAAAAAGATAAGATTAGAAATATTTTAATGTTGTGTATGATCTTGCAACTTTTTGAAATTGGGATATGGGTGTGAATTTGTCATGGGAAGTGAACTTTTGTGTATATTTTGCAAGGTTTGATGCTAGAAGTTTATGTTCTTAATTTTAATGTATTAAACTTGGTTTTTAGAGTCACTAGTGGTTTAGAATGCATAGTCATTAGGTTTCATCAAGTTATGTTGACTAGAAAACCAAAAACCCGAGCATTTTTAATACTCCAAGAACGTTATGTGCCCTTTAAACTTAATAGTCGGATATCAACCCGAGTAGCACAAGTCGGATAATCGAGATGAAATCCTACGCTATGACGACGTGGTTACGACCTGAGGGAGAATTTCTCGTCACGACGAAAAATTTGCCCTGAAATCGCCGTGATATCGTTCTTGCGTAGGATTTCATCTCGATTATCCGACTTGTGCTATTCGGGCAACACTTTACTGACTCCCAGAACCTCTTGTATCCTTTATATTAATGAGGAATTTTTATTTTTGGTTGTAAGATTTAACTCAACGCTTTAAGAATCCCTACGAAGCTATAGAAATATCCCTGACGGCAGGCATGTAGCCAAGGGGGGGGGGGGGGGGAAATTTCTTCATTTTGCTAGTCTTTTTTTTTGGAAAAAATCCATTTTTTTCCCATACAAAATATTAATTACCTCCCTCCTTTTAAATTCCTGACTACACCCCTGCCTGACAGTCTTATAATCCTAAAACCCAAATTCGAAGAAAAAATTAAAATCTACCCCAAAAATTGTTCATGGCAATTACCACAATTTGCTACAACATTCTCACCATTGGATGAATGCTAGAAATTTTCTTAAAAATTCAAATCTAGCACCTCACAACAACAAAAAGTTCACAACAATCCATCCCGACATCAAACTACAAAGAAGGACCATCAAGTAAAGTAGAAAAAAAATTTCAATTTAATTTTGTTAAAATGCAAAGAATTTACGAGAAAATTTCTCTTACATCTTTTTTTTTTCGTCGTCAAACAATTTCAAAAATGTATGTTACTGTGTGTGATAAAAGGCATTTGTAAAGATGGAGATTCTTCGGTACATATATCGTCATCATCATCATCATCATGATTAAACCTTCCACAAAAATGCCTTTATCGCACTTCTATTTGGGGTTTTTATGAATTTATATCAGAATAAAAGGAATGAATGAGATACATGTGGATGAATGTGACATAAACGACAAAAAGGGGTTCATCGGATGTTACGTAACGTCATAATTGAATCATTGTCACCATCAACTGCTCTTAATAATGAATAAACGTTATAACTTACAGGTACCTGTCACAGGCACAGGTGACAGGTCCTGTAATAAGCTCATCTGTCACAGATCTGTAACAGACCTGCTACAGATCTGTCAACATGTGGCCTGTTAACAGCTGACCTGTCAAACAGGTGGCAACCTGTGACAGATGGGCTGTTTTCGTTGACCTGTGACAGATTGCAACTCTAGTAGAGCCTAGCTTCCTTCTTAGCATCACGTAATATCCGAATGAACCCCCCAGAACCAAAAACTATAAAAAAGAATGTCCAGAAGGTCTATTTTTCTATTACTCACTTTTAAGGCCGAAAATATTTCATTCAAATGAAAATGATAAGCATTCCTAACATACGTTCGTAATATACGATCTCTTCGTGTTTCGTTAAAACCAAATTCTAAGTCTTGTGCACTGAAGTCGAGATATGATTCTATTGATGTCACAGCAAACAGCAGTTGACGCGTGGGAAAATCAGCTAACTCGATACCGGCGGGGCTGTTCGATGTGATTAGCGTTAATTTGTAATACAAGCAATGACAGCATATAGAATGTGTTAAAGGAAAATTGTCTGATAATAAAAATAAAATAAAAAATGTTTAAAAAACTTACCCAGCAATTGCTGCGCCCATCGGTATCGTAATTGGCGTGATGGGCGTTATGGCAGGATTAACGATAACTGTTCCATCAACGAATGGGGCAAAACCCGGCAGAAATCTGTTGAAAGGGAGAAAAATAAAAATAAAGAGAGATGAAATTGTGATATGAATGAACGGAAATAGTCCTAAAGCAGCATGAGGCCGTTTGTCGTTTGTATGTATGCTGATCCTTTTGCCCGAAAAAAAATAAAATAAAATGAATACAGCACGAAACTTTTATTGTATCGTGTCTGGCATTTTTTAATGGTTAGCGGTTGTAGTTAAGAAAAGTGAGAGTTGTTGCTGTTTTACTGGCGTGAATTGACTTTTCTGAATGACCAATTTGAGTTAATACAATAGATATTAGGGGTCGTTCACTTATGACGTCCATCAAAAAACCTGATTTTTGGACCCCCTCCCCCCCTCTGTCACAAAAATTCTGTAGAAAAAAATTTCCATTGTTTGAACTGTCACAAAATCCTAGACCCCCCTCCCCCCTAAATATCGGACGTCATAAGTGAACGGCCCCATATAGATATTTCGCAATACTGTTTACTCAGCTGAGGAGATCAAGGAAGTCTCAATTTACATCTAGCTCAAAACATACTCTCGTAAGTATTGATACTACCTGAATAGAACAAGTCGGTTAATCGAATAGAAATGTCGGAATGACTTTGGTATGCTGGATTTCTATTCGATTAACCGACTTTTCATATTCAGGCTAGATATTATCTACTTTGAAACAAGATATGTTGATACAAAGGTTTCCCTGGATATCTTTGTCTTGCAGATCTGCCTGGACCAGTAATGGTCAACCCGTGTGCTGTGTAAAAAATTTGAAACTGTGTGCGATTTTGATCATGGTTTACTACCAAGTTTGCGGTGGAACAAAAAAGGTTGAACGACACTGGCCAAAACTAAGAAATCTGTTCAGAAAACCTTCAAGAAATCATCTCTCAAAGTTCCAATGATGAAATTGTCTCCAAAAACTAAATAAGATCTTTAAATGCGCTCCTAAACTTAAACTTAAACTTCTAACTTCAATATCAGTGATAATCTCTCTAGCTGTTCTACACTGCAGATAACCTAGAGCTTTAACATCAATTTTAAAGCAGTAAGTTCATTTGACAAGAAAGATTTACTAACTCTGCATTGGAACTTTTTAATAAAAGGAATATTAAGCTCGTCACATTCATTCTTTGTATATTCAGTAGACTGAATGACAACAATAATAATAATAACAAGGGGCGAGGGTCATAATATGATTGAATAAACTTCATCAAATTAGTTTGAGTTAGAAAATCTGTCTTCTATGTCGTTGACGTATTTTCATGTCCTTCATCTTATGTTCTTCTTTATTCAAAGTAATGAAAAAAAAATTTTGATTTTGTTTGATGTTCTTATTATTCTATTAATGTAAATGAATTTAATGAAGAAACAATGAGCAAAAAATAAGTCGTTGAAGTCTTTAGAAATGCTAAGGCTTTTTTTTTGAGGATTCAATCTTCTTGAATGTCTTAGAACAAGTCAGATATAAAGGCATTAATGTCTAAATTGGAATAAATAGAGGTTGTAAAGTAAGAATTCTTGGAAAGGAATTTATGTTCAAGGTTGAATTTAATGCTTAATATTATAAATTTTTGAAAAATAATATTTGAGCTTAAACCTTGAACTTTTGAGCATAAAACTCATTTTATTTTATTTTTTTGGCAAATCCCTAAAAGCATTAAAAGTATCAAATGTTAATCTTCTACCATACAAAAAAACTTTTTTTAAAAAAGCACGCTTTTATTTCCGATTACAGTGCACTAAAAAGGAGAAAATAATTTTCTTGCTAAGCTCTCAAATTTGATACAAAATTTTATGACTCAAAATAAAAGCGTGGGGCGTTAAATTTAAACTTGCTCTTGATTTTTTAAAATTTATTTAAATTCAGTTTAATTATCCATTTCTTAATTCAAATTTTGTATTAAAACGAAAGACCTTTTAAAGTTTTGATCTCAAATTATTTTTTGAAACAAAGGAACTAGTTAGATTTAGCAGGAGAGTAAGACTTGATTTCTAGTGCCACACAGAAAACTCTAAATTAGTCTCATGGAGATCAAGTCTACCGTCTCAGATTTACCATAATTTGTAAGGGCTCATCATTCTCCTTAGACAAACCCATAAACATTGAAGACCTAACGCTTATGTAAACATACAAATTCAAGATTTAGTGATATTTATAAGAGCGCCCCACGCTTTTATTTTGAGTCATAAAATTTTGTATCAAATTTGAGAGCTTAGCAAGAAAATTATTTTCTCCTTTTTAGTGCACTGTAATCGGAAATAAAAGCGTGCTTTTTTAAAAAAAGTTTTTTTTTTAAAGTATTTGGGCAAGATCAGAAAAAAAGGGAATAAATATTCAAATTCAGATTTCTCTGCTTTTAATAACTTAATTAATATGATTCCTTCACTACATGATAGCTAATAATAGTAAGTTTCTTTTTAACATTCATTTTTCAAAATGGCGACTTATTAAGTTAGTTTAATTAACAAATTAATATTTGAAATCGATTTTTCTTTGAAAAGAAAGCAAGATAAATGATTGGAAGCTTGACAAAAGTTGTAGAGCTTGCTTTTTTCTATCATGTGATCAAAATAGACTTTATTAAAAATGAGTTATTGTAGTTAAATTAACTGAAAACCAAATTGAATGTAAAATGTATTTTTAAATCAAAACTATTAACCTTAATCGGTCAAGAACAATTACTTGATATCTAAAGAGTCTTTTACTATTTAATTTACATTCGAAAAAGGCTTAAAAGTAAGTTAAATTAACTATAAAAACAATGAAATTTAAGTTGAGCAATAAATTTTGCTCTTATTTGCTCACAAATTTATAATTTTAAAAACCGTTACAAAATTTTTGGTCAAATTTTTTACTCTAATTTAATTTTCTCTGCTTGTCTTGAACAAAAAGTAATATTTCTGTTGCAATATGATAAACATTGTTGAATTCTATAGTTTGAAATGAAAAAATCAGTAGACGAATAACACAGCAATGACTTATGACTAGTTTTGTAAAACTCATCATAACATGGTTAATTATAGTAGAATTGAAAATTTTCTCTCACAAACTTAAAGAAAACTACATATGTAACCTTTTTTGTAAAGAAGGATAGTTCCTAAACTATTTCCTTCATATCAAAATTTCAGCTTCAACATTTTAAAGCTGAATTAAGCTAACTTACAAATCCGCCATTTTGTATATTTCAGACAAAACTTTTAAAGATCTGATTACTTAATTATCTGGTGAAAAAATCGTTATGATTAATGAAGTATTCGCAGAGATATTACATTTGCAACATGGTGTAAAATCGAATTTCCTCAAAATTGTTCGTGACGCTTAGCACTTTAAATTCATTTTTAATTATAATACAATGTCTAAGAGATACTTGTTATACACCAAAATATAGGTCTTGGCAAGGACTTTAAGAAAAACACAAGTCTTAAATACATATTTCGCATTATTGATTCAAAAAGTGTAAATTATTGTTAAGCGTCACGAACAATTCATTTTTGATCTTGCCCATTTTATTTTCCACTTTTTAGTCTTATAAAATCTACAAATCGATTCAACTTCCAAAATTCCAAACTTCACTTCGTTTCACTCCGTTTCGTTCAATTATTTATATTTAATTTAATTCATACCTGGAAGCACGTGAAACTCTTAAAAGTGTCCTGAACTTCAATTAGTAAAGTAAATTAAAAAATCAATCTTAAAGATTTTGTGTTTATCTGTACCATTTCTACTTCATAACGTGTGGATTCTTAACATAAAGATGCAAATCACATATGTAACGTATTTATAACGGATTTTTCAAATTTAATTTCAATTCATTTCAATTATATGTTATGCAAAAATACGCCAAGCCGTTAATAAAAAGAAAACTCAATTTAATTAAGTTGGTGAAGTGTTATAAATAATGCAATACATTAAAAACAGCATTAAATTATGCTCAAACTATGTGTGCTAAATGCACATCGCATATTAATAGTTATTTTGCATTAATTCGTTACGGACTTGTGCTTAACGGTTTTTTTGAAAATTCAAATTTTAACTTACGAATATTCATGAAAAAATTACTTGTTAATTTCTTTGTCCTACCAGAATATCTTTAGCTGCTCAAATTTATGGTATTATCAATAATTAATAATATTAATTAAACTATAATGAATCATATAAATGACTTTTGAGCATCACAAGTATAATATTTAATACAAATCAAAATTGTATATCATTGACATTGGATTTTTTCCCATATAAAAAAGTTTTACATAAATTGTACTATAATTAAGCATTTTTGTGTTTCCAAAGTGTTAAAATATTGTATTGTCACCGAGAATACGTGTGCATAAAAAATTTGAACTCGATTGGAGCAGTAGAAGTGATCGAAATATCGATTACAAAATTTGACGCATGAAACATACAAACAGTGTGAGTTAAATAAAAGCGTGTAATAATAATAAAAGCGTGTAAAAAGAATCAACAAAACGATGAGCTTTTCAGACATTTTAAATTAATAAGATTATTTTCAAATGGCATTAAATAAAACATTTCAATTAATCTGCAATTTAATTCAATTAAGTTGCTCAAATTAAATTTCAATTCTTAAATAACAAAATGATTAAATTTAAAAAAAACATTTAAACTGAAATTTAAATATAAAAATGGCTCTCAACAAGGATTTATAGAGAATATAAAATCACAAAGTGACTGAATGAATTTTAAATAAGACGAAGGTGAGATTTGAACTTGAAGATACGGAGGCCGGATGATGTGGGCTTAAATTGTCCTTATTTTCTTGAATTTTGAATTTTTTCTTCATGTTAAAAGAGAATTTAATCATTTGTGAACTTTAATTAAATGTCAACATTGAATGTTCATGAAATTCAGAAAATATGAAGCATTTGACTTCGTTACTAATCTTTTATGACCATCTGCCATGTCTATATCTATATTACTCTAGAACCTTGACTCTAGAACGGAAGCTATGTAGAGCCGTGTGAAGCCAATCATTTTTGGAACATATTTAATGGTTCCATGGTGATGGGGGTGTTGACGAGGTGAGTGTCAGTTATGAGCGGGAGGGTGAAGAAATGTGAAGTTTTGTGAACCCATTTATAAAGTTTTTGAGGGATTAAAGAGGTCCACGTTTGAGAAAGTTTAAGAAACCATGTGAATTTTTGTCTGAGGATTGTCTCGAAAAACATTGAGGTTAAATGCGTCTTACAGTTGTTTACAAAACAGTAATCAAGTTAAACCCTGATAACGAGTGCCATTGGCGCCCTCGAATAGCCTAGTTACAAAATAATGGAACTAAAATTCCAAAAAGAATCTGTTTTTATATTATTTTAATTAAATTTTAAGTTCAACCAGTCGTGCCCCTTGAAGGGGGGCCTTATTAATTCTACAAAACGTCCCATTGACCTCTCTACAACATAGTCCAGTTTCAATATCTACAACATCTTCAATATCAAAATACCCATCCTCATTTACCTAATTTGAGTTCGATAATCTCAACAAAAACTTCTTAAAATCCACGATAAAGAAGAAATTGAACAAAATTAGATCCAAATCTTTTTATAAGGATGTTGGTGGCAAATTAATTATGACTCTTAATTGACATTTAGTTTCTTTTTCCTTTGGTAATTTAATTTATTTTTAATTACATTTATTTGGTAGCTGTGTGGGCTTGTTTGTGGATTAATAGAATAAATTATTTTGTCTTTAGATGAAAAAAAAAGTTTCTGTTGAGTTTGACAGTCAAGCATTGACTTTGGAAGAAAGTTCTTCATGGTTACATATTCAGCAATGTGGGAAGGTGGAAAGACTTGATGGAAAAATTGCGGTTGGTCATTGTATTATGTAAAGAAACTTATATTGAGATGTTACATAAGTTCTAGGATTAAGACAAGAAAACAGATTAATAGGAATGTCAGTCTAGCTTTAAAAATGCAAATCTTAAAGTTCTTCATTCTTATTTTAAAGCTTTAGTCAATAAAATGACATAAGCAATGTGCGAATGCTTGTATCATCGAAAACACTCTTTATAATAATTGAGTCGGTCTCTGTTGGGAATCGAACCACGTACTCACAAAATAGGGTTACAGATATTCATTCTGTTGCCTAACATCTCGCGCCACAGAGACTTAACTATAGCAATGGCAAATTCGCCAATATATGACTCAATACTCCAGATCCCACTCTGCTTAGACACAACACTCAAAAATTTCATGATTTCAAATCTCTTTTAAAAATGGTAAAAGCTTATCTTATCCGCATAATCATCTACAGACACTTAGCCAAGTTAAACTGTAATCACCAAATTTTAAGGATCTTATTCCATTTGTCTGTGACTTCCTTTATTAAATCTTTATGAGCCAATTTCAGTAAAAAGCTGATTATTTTTGGTTGAAAATTGTTCACCCTCATTTAGGAGCTTCATGTTGTGAACATTTTAAATGCTCTTGACCAATTTACTAGCTTTTGCTGACTAGACATAATATTGCGTCCATAGCATTGAATTTTGTTGAAGGTCTAAATAGTCTTATCTTCGTAATTCACTATCTAACAAATCATTGAATCCATCCTTAATTCAATTAAGAAACTTTATCGTTCAGTTTAGAGAAAAAAAGTTCTCACAAAACCCTCAAAAAATTAAATTATTCCGCATGTTAAACTTCCTTAAAAACCCCAATAAAATCGAATGTTTCAGGTGATTACACCGCCAATACCTGTGCACGATTAAATCATTAAGAAGAACCAATTTTTGTCGACTCAGATGCTTCCATTTAACCACAAAAATATTATTGTCATATAAAATTAATTATTATTTCGTAAGCATTAAAATTTCAATAACATTTAACGTATGCACATTATGGTTAGGCGGTAAAAATTGCTTGGGTTAACGAGAAAATTATCCGTACACATACTTGTGGAATTTGATGAATCACGTAGAGTACGTAAAATTGTAATTACATGTCACAGAGTTTTTTATTACCATTCACCCGTGAGTCCGTTTTAATCGAATAAATTTTCTTTTATCTGACATTTAATATAATGCCGGTTTCATCGCTTTTTATTTGTGTTGTTGCTGTACATGCTCCTTTTCCTATTTGACACAATTTGTGTTATGTAATTTTGGATGTTAAGTTATATAGCAATTAATTAACTTAATTAATGATTTCATATAGTAAACAATGGGGATATGCTGAGAGTCACAGGAGGGATATAAAGACATAAATCCTAATGACAGAAACGACAGCAACAACAATACAGTTGAGAGAGGAAAAAAGTTAATCGGCCTCTCAAATTATGGCACAGGAGTTAAATTTACTTTCACGGTGGGATAATTTAAGGGGTTTGGAGGCTATTTTGGAGTCACTTTGGATTTGATGAGTTTATTGAGCAGAGATCAACTAGCTTTTAATGGCGCTTACCGATATTTCAAGGTAATGTTCTATTTTCCTGAATTTTGAAGATACAGCGAAACTGCTTAAGGCACTTAAAATGTCATAAATAACCTTGAATGACTCAAATGATCAGAATTGATGCTGAATAGTAATTGGTGCTGTATTATTCCCGATTATTCCATAACGTCATGGAACTGGATTGGCCACACATTAAGGAAAGACCATACAGACATCGCGAGACAAGCGATTTTTTGGAATGCCCAAGGAAATAGGACTAGGGGCCAACGGAGAATTACTTGGCGTACAACTGTTGAACGAGAGGTGGAACAACAGAACAAGAAGCTGCAGGAAATAGCAGCTTTGGCCTAGAATCGAGTGCGATTCAAATGCTTTGTAGACGCCCTACGCTTCATAGTAATTTTGAGAATTTTGAAGATATTGACCTCTATTGGGATTCAAACCAACGTTTTTACCAAAGAGAATCACATGTTTAACGGTATCTTGCCTGATTTCTCGATTAACGAGGTTTATCTATAGGATATTAGCCTTTATGCCACATAAGCCAGTTTCTAGGGCTTCCCTGGGCACCCTCCTCTAGTTTCAGATTAATTTTATTTATATCCCATACTAACGTACATCCAATTTCATTTTTGCGCTAAGGTGCCCGAAGAAGAGCTAAAACCAGCCCCAGACTCCATGCTCCTTAGATACCCAAGGACCCTTTAGACAATTAACCCTGTCCATTAAACCCAATTGGATCCAAATACCCCCAGCAATTAACAAAACTCCTCAATAAATTACTCTTAAAATAATTTAAATTCAAAAACATTCAGCATACCTTGGTGGATCTAATTTGATAGCTAACAAATCTGATATGGACTTCTTCCTTAAGCACGGTGCTATATCATCGTCTAATAAATCTCCATGGCAACCCGTATCAGTTGCGACCTTTTTCTTTATCGTCAATGGATCTCGCTGTATTGCCCATGGTGATAACGCTGAGCCACTTATCAAGATTGTACGATGTATCAAATCTGGCAATTGTACAAAAAAAAAAAGAGGAAGAGAGAAGAGACACAGAAAGGGAATAAAAAAAAGGAATGAATTAAAAATTATTCGCATGTATGGAAAAAGCTAAAAGTCACAGCAGATTTTCGTTATGTGACAAGAGTGGGGAAAATTGGATTTAGTCGGCAGGAGCCATAAAAAATTGATTAAATTTTTTTTTTATCTTTAGTTTCTCGAAAAGCATAAAAAAACTGACATGCATGAATTGGGTTGTTTCTTGTGATTGTGAGAGGGTTCAATGCTTTTTATGATGTTATTGTTGTTTTTTGTTACTGAGACGAGCATTTTATGGAATAGCAGTCAACTGGCAAATCAAAGAGATTGTAATAGTTCTCCAAGGAATTTTTTAATGGATATAAAAAATTGGGATAGAAATTATGAAGAAAATGGGATGAAAATCATGTCTTGTCGAAGTTGCGGAACTGATGAATTTTTTGATAATTTTTTGATCATTTTTTAATCAGTTTTGATCATTTCATCAGTTCCGCATTCCTTATATCTTGTATTTAGTCTTTTGTAGTAAGTTTTTTAAAGCCAATAATTTAAAAAATTCAATTTAATTTGAGAAAAAAATAAAAAAAATCAGAAAATGAAGTAAAATAAATTTTAGAAAAAGAAAAAAAAAATTAAATCAAAAAAAATTAAAATTAAAATTGAACAAAATTTAAATTTGAATTTTTAACATTTAAAAAAAATTGATTAATTTCAAAATGTATCTGGATATTTTAAATAAATCCATAACAATGTTCCAGCACAACCCAATAGATTTAATAATTCTAACACTCATTGCAGCCACATTTGTCAATATTTACACAAAGTCTCATATAAATTAATTTACAGCTAATTTTACAGACAAAAATGAGAGAGAATCATGTGAGTTTACAAAATTTCCAGATGGATGAATGGGTTGTAATTGCCACATATTTGCTTAAAACCTTATTTTTGTAAATATTTACTTTTTTTAAGGTTAACTGTTTGAGCTGGTTTGAGCTTTTTACAGTTGTGTTGACTTTACTTTGAAAAATTAGTTTTGTCAATTTTCAACAAATATTGAATGAATGTTTTTGATGGATATACTGTTTGAGAAATAAATAATTTGATTCCGGCTCTTAAAAGTTAAATTATTCTTTATTTAAAAAAAATCCATAACATTATGAAAAATCTCAATCTTCATTCATCCTTAAAAGTAACAAAGAACCAAATAACGCACAATCTCGCATCATCAACCCAAAAAACAGAAAAATTAAGCACAAAAAAAATATCCAGCAAGCTTTAAACTCGCATCACTAAAACATCATTCCTTCCTCATATTCAACATTAAATATGTACTTCCCCAAAAAAAGCAGAAATATGTACACATAAGCAGAGTATATAGAAAGTAGTACATGACGTAGTGCGATGCCTAAAGTTTATGCGTCAATCTTCCATAACAAGGCACCAGAGGAAATTGCCGTTAGAATTTGCATACAATGAATATTTTACAGAAAAACATTATGATGTATGCTGAAGTCTGCAGGATATAAATGTGAAATAAGTTAAGTGTACACAGAATAAAGGAAAGATTGAGATTTTTCTTGTGAATTTTCTGGGTGGGATTCGGATTTACATTTTATGGAAGATGTACTGAAGTATTAAGAACCCTCAAGGCTTCTGGAAACTCTAAAATTTTCTATTATTTTGCTTGGATCCTCAAACTCTATTTTTGAGGTTAGATCTCATCAATCTTGAATCTGAACTACTTAACATTTAGGAACTTACTTTCTGAATCACACAATCCATAATCGAGAGGTTAGATCTCATCAATCTTGAATCTGAACTACTTAACATTTAGGAACTTACTTTCTGAATCACACAATCCATAATCCTAGCAATAAACCTCAAAAACCCTTCAAAACTAATTTATTGACTCCAAAATCTTTTTGTTGTTCTACAATTTACCATTTGACTTCTTCCTCGAATGGCACAAGCCCTTTGATTAATTAAAAATCCTACACCAAGTCAGTGTGCCTTTGGCACTGTGCTGGATTTAAATTGAATCCAGCATCATGTCAGATTTATGCCGAATTTCTTTATGATTAACCGACTTGTGAGGAATTGGGAAAGCCGAAGTCTAACTGCAAAGCTGACTACATGTCAAGTGCAAACCTTGATTATCTCTTGATAGCACCAAATGCACCGCTGGCGACCGAGCCAAGGGTGTGGAACTAAAGAATTACATTTTGATCAATTTTGATCATTTTTTGATCATTTTTGATCATTTCATCAGTACCACACCCTCGGACCGAGCCTTGTGCCGGAATAAGTACTTAAAAGGACAGATTAAAAGCCCATCCAAACAACCTTGCCTGTAGAGTGGAAGCTTCACATTCAGACTAGGGATGATAAGCTTTACAGTCAACCATTCCAGAAATCAACATGTCCAAAGAAAGCAACATAAGGTAAACAGGACTGGAACCGACTTGTACTTTTCCGGTTCATTCTAACATTTGATGCCCAATGCATCAACTTAAATACACACCAGAATCCAAATAAAAGAAAATTTCGAGAAGGAAGGGGATCTCAACTACGCCCCTGTCTTCAACTGATGTGTATGAGATGAGACTTCTTGTATCTCAACGTTGGAAGGGTGTTCATATAGTAATAAAATCTACATAAATGAAAATCATATCTGAGGAATTTCTTGAAAAACTTGTAGGTTATGTAATTTGTTGATCAACCCCTAGTCTGTATTTTTTATGCTTCATAATTGAAATTTCAATTTCCTTCCAATTTAGTTTTTCATTGTTGCAACAAAATTTTTTTTTCGGGTGATTTTTGTGCAATTTACAGCCACAAATGTTGATGTATTGCATCATCATAGATTCTTTTTTTTTATATTTATGTTTTCTTCCTTTCATTGAAATTGCAATTGCCATAAAAAAATGTATACACAAATTTACATTTTTATGTCCTGACATTGCAATTTTCTCTTTCTGTGCATGTTGCTGCATAAAAAAAAACAGCAATTTTTCATATATACATTTTCTCACTCACTCACTCATTTTTGCAACATATGTGCTGTGAACACAATGGATATGAAAAAAGTGCTGAAAAATTGCATTGAAATAACATACCACTAGCTACGGGCGAAACTATCAAAATATTTGCAAGTGCAGCACCATGGCCATGTCCCATTAGCGTCACCATATTTGGATTGCCATTAAATGCTGGCAAGTTTTCACGTAGCCAATGTAAGCCAGCAACCAGATCCATTAATCCAAAATTTCCCTGAGATGATGCCTTTGTGCCAGTTTTTAAAAATCCTGTGAATGAATAAATTAAAAAAAATTTTATTATGGATGCTATAAATATGGCTGAGGTGAAATGAGAAATGAAAATGTGACTATAAAAATATTTATTACAATTCAAGATTGAGAAATAAAAAAAAAATGAAAATTATTGAAAAATATTATTAAGGGAATGGTTCATAAGAAGTTCAAAGTCAGTAGAACATTTTTTTATTTTTATCTGAAATTCATATAGGATATTGTTTATTATAAAACATTTGCACTGCCATAAATTTTTCCCAGCACTGCCTTCATAAAAATTATTTCTTCTTTCTGCTCGTTTTTATTCTCCCTTTGATAAACTTTTTTTTGCATCGTCATTTTGCTGAGGTTTCAGAAATAATGTTCATTTGACCTATTTTCATAATAATATGTGATGCTGGGTAGGACGACTTCGTGTTAAGGAATTAATAGTTTTTGATTTAATATTTCGAATGAAAAAGTGTCTTTGGCTGATGGATCTGCATTAAAATAAAAATGACAGTGGTGATTATTTGAGAAAAAGTGGGATTGGTTTAATACTTCGGTACCAAATTATTGCAAAACCATCACCATTCAATATTGGGATCGAGACTCGGCATGGGAATTTTTTTCGTTTGTTCTTTTTTCGAACCACATGCACTGGAAAGAGCTATAACTCATGGAAAGAATCTGTTGATAGAGACAGTATTGCATTTGGTATAGGACTTTGTCAAGCCATATCCAGCGATACAGCCAGTTTTAGGCGGCATCTGAGGGAAGCTATGGATCACAATTGATCTGTAAGGTCATCGAAAGAAGCAAGCAAGCAAGCATGTACTCGAAATGAAGCTCACAGCCTTCATTTGAAGGCTATAGGCAGCAATGTCATTTAATGAGTGGTTTGGATCACACTATTAAGTAGGTTTAGGTTTGAGTGCAGTAGTTTGGTGCATCCTCACTCCTTAAACTCTCATTAGCTGCGAAACGCCCTAGCTCCTTTCTGGATCACAATTGATCTCAATAGGTAAATGATGTTTTTAAATGATTGTCAATTCATACAAGATTCAAATGAATTAGAGGTATAGCCAATGCTTTAAATACTTTTTTTTAAAACCCTAGTAAGATGCAGAAATTTTTGTTGATGAAGTGAAATTTTTCCCTTAAATCTTCTTCCTAGATCTATTCCTGGAATGAACAATTTATCCCCCAAAGTTGCTCAAAAATTGTAGGAATTTTCCATTAAGATAAAGCCCTAAACCCTCTTTCTGAATGTCTACTGTCCAAGTTCCTAAGCACATCTAGAATGTTTCAAGTGCAGATTATCAATCAAAGTCAAGAGCACTTTCAACCTCAGATTTTAACTATTCTTAGAATCTCATTAACACTGTGAAGTCCTCAATAGCATATCCTTCGTTAATTTTTCAAGAAATTACTGAAAATTCTGACGAAATCCCCACAAAAGCTAATCCTTAGATCCGCGAAATATTTGCAAAGCCCCACAAAAAAAAAATCATTTCTACCTTTTGAAGCTTTTATGACTTTCCATTCATTTCTTTTACTTTTTTTTATTTTATTCTGTAAAAATTTTATGAAGAAAAGAAAAACGTTTGAAGTCAATTTTTTACAGATGCGCAAAATGCTGGCATAAAAAATAATCTCAGCGAGAATGTGCTGCCATAGAAATTAAATAAAGATAAAAAAATGGAAGAAAGAAAAAAAAAGTGGAAATGAGTCTATGCTGTATACATACCGAGAATGCCTAAACGAAAATTTATTGTTACAACAATTATGTTGCTATGGGCAGCAAGTACAGTTCCATCATATAAATTTCCAGAATTCCATTCGTATGACTCTCCATGAATGTACACTAATGTTGCCATTGGCTTATCTATTGAGGCACCTGATTCATCTGAAACAAAATAAAGCAATTTGAATGTAAAATGCTCGGCAATTTTCCTTTTAAGATTTATATTTTTGTGAGTTCGATTTTCAATTTTACATTTTTGCATAAAACCAGGAGGGGAAAAAAAGGTATTTTATGTGCAATCATAAAATAATTCTCATTCCTCCTGCCTTTAATTTTCATTCCTCAATTGTCGATTACCCACCACGCCTGCATTGCAATCAAGATCGTTCTTAAAAAAAGGTGGGTTTAAAAGTTAAATTATGTGAGAATTTTTTATAAAAAGTATTTTGTGAAAGATTAATTGAAGATTCATGAGTTATCATCGAGTGAGCATCAATGCTATATGTGTGATGCTGGGTGAATCCATAAATGAGTGATATTATGTGATTTGATTGAGAGGAGGTCATAATAAGGCTGTCCAACTGCACACTTTTGAGCGGGACAGTCCTACTTTTTTGATGTAAGTCATTCTTAAAATTCAAGGGTGCGGAAATGATCAAAAATGAACAAAATTGATCAAAAATGATCAAAATCCAATTTATCAGTTCCGCACGCTTACTAAAATGATGCTTATTGTCCATCTTATTTTCCAAAATTCGGCAATACCCGATAGACAGCCTATGAGTCATGAATGAGGTTCATATTTTTGGGATCTGAAGTGGATCTGATGCAGTATGACAGCATAAATTGTATGTTTTAATATATGTCATTTTGAATGTCCTACAAACGTGCGTTGAGCAATATAGCCCCACAAAAATGTAACTGCTTCAAGTTAGGATTACTTGATCGAAGGGTAGAGAGCCACGAGCAGGAGCTTTAGGCGTCAAAAAAAAACCTTGAAATTTCACAGAAGTGATGAATTTTCAAATTAAAATTTTTGATACCCTTGGGGTGGGGGGGGGGGAGCTAACGTAACTCTGGCATTGTGCTGGATACGATTTGAGTCCAGCTCCATTCCAGAATCACGCAGGCTGGCTTGATGCCGGATTTTTATTCGATTATCAGACTTGTGCTTTTCGGGTACGCCTCTAATTTGATCCCAAATATTGAAAGGACTGTATCTTTTAAGAAATCAAATAAAAGATTCAATCCAAAATCCAAATTTCAAGCACAACATTCAACAAAAGAACTCAATACTTGTGGTTCTAGCATGTGCCTTTATCAATAAATAATAAAATTTCTAAGAAGAAAAAAAAATTAAAAACCCTACAAAAGCTTCATTGAGAAATCACCAAAGGCAATCAGTTCCTTACTTCGCAGAATCACCCACATTTTACATAAACTGAATTTTTCATACTTGCCTCACATTAAAGTGCTATAAATTTATTCCTCACATATCCGCATTCAACGGAGAAGAAAAAAAAAATCAATTTAAACCATTTCATTTTCCATCGTCACTCTCGATAAGCATTGACATGATGGAGAAAATATCAACGTTAAAATTTTTTTTTAAGGCATCATATGTGTAAACTATCTTAACATTTCATCCAAATGGCTGACATTCTAATCGATTTCTCACGCAATTCAATCAATTTACGTAATACTCAATAAATGGGGTTTGTATGCAAATTACGTCAATAAAATAATTTTTTTTGACTTTTTGTCACAAGCTGCCTGTTATACCTTATTCATTATCCTGTGCCTTGGCTCAAGTTCCCAGTAGAAGCGTCTTCCTTCATTGCCACGCATCAACATAAGGATAACAAGCTCAAAATCAATCTCAAAATTTTAAATATGCTTTCTCGAAATCCCGGTCCCGACAAATTTTCGGGATCGGGATCGGGATTGAAATTTTTCGGGATTTCCCGGGAAATCCCGGGAATCCCGAATATGTAAAAAAATTTAAAAAACAGCATTTTTCTGCTTTTTTTCCCAAAAAAAATTATATATTTTTTTGCTACTTATACGGTCATTTATTTCTTAATTAATTAGTTATACTTTATGTGTTACAAGGTAGATGTTTTAATCCATGTTTCCTTTGAAAATTGTGAACATAAACAAAAATAGAAAATAAATGTTGCTAAAGATGTAAGTTAAAAGGTTATAGAAAACGGTGTGAATATAATAATAAAAATTAAGCATTAATGAAAAAACTTTTAACAAATGCAATTGCATTTAGATTCTTGTCAAGTAAACGTTTTCTTTGTTTTGTAAGAATGTTGTTACTAATAGAGAAATTTCGTTCGCTTTGAGTTGAGGTCGGCTGCATTGTTATCAATGCATCGTAAAGTTGATCTAATAAAACGGTTCTCTTCTTATTTTTGTCATACCAATTAAACTCTCTTTTCAAGTTATTTGGTTCTTTTGCTGCTGCATCTGTTGTTAATGATGTATATTCAGATATGCTTAGTTTCAGTCTATCTCGAATAGAAATGTTTGACGGTTGGATTTGATTTGCACTGGATGTTGAAGCTTCCAAAGCTCCATTTGTAGAGTTTTTGACAAAATACTTCTTCAATAAGTCAATGCCAAGTTTATGTATTGCAGCTTTTGTTGACGATTTAAAATGCTTGTCTAAAGAAATATATTGAGGATGATTCAGGTAAAGTATTAAGTCAATTAATGTTCCATTTCTTCGTGCACCTATGCGAGCGCAATTCATATCGTAAACCTTTTGAGACAATAATGTTCCTTGTAGCAAACAATTCGTCTAGCAAAAAGTTACTTGTTCCTTCATCAATTAATAAATCGTTTGATTTATGCAATAATTCTTCTGTCGCGTATTTAGCAGGTTCTAAAACATCAATAATTTCCTAAACTAAAAAACCGGGATTTTCAATCCCGATCCCGATAAATTTCGGGATCCCGGGATTGATCGGGATCGGTAAATCCCGATCCCGATCCCGATAGCGAGAAAGCATAATTTTAAACATCATTTTTGAACATCCCCCTGAATGCAGAGTAATACAAAAAATGTGGCATCGCTCTAAATTGAGAGAGCTTTGCGTCGTTAAGCTTCTTTATAACTTTTATTTTTAAAAAATGGAAGACTTGAACAGCAAAAAATAAGTTTTTCATTTTCATTTTTTTTTTGTTTTGTTGGTTCATCGTCTTCCTACTGTAAGACATTGTAATCGTCGTATTAGACAAGACTGCAAAGTGATATGAACGAGAAACGGAATCAAGAAGACAAAAGTGACATAAATGGAGCGATTTTTATTTCGACAGTGAAATTATTTCAGGGGAGGAGTCAATAAAGGACAAGATTTTTGTTTTAGAGTTTCCAAATCCCTAGCTGCACCACTGATATGGTGTGCATTGACTTGACAAGCATGTTGTCTTGTTGTGTAAATTTGTATTCACAATATTCGATGCTTGTAAAATTGATGATGATTGCGCAGTTTTGAATCAATTTTGAGAATAGTTGGGTGTGTTTCGCATGAATTAGCAACATAAATTGAAAAGTTGTAGAGGAACTATTAAGAATTGATGAATTTATTGATGAGGGGTCATTCATAAATGAGGTTAGTAGTCATCGCATGAAGGGACCCTTTAAAAAATTAGTCCTCATTTATGATGAACCCCCCAAAAAATATTAGTACATAAATTTAAAAGCAAACTTAACCCCGATCAGCACACATTGAAATTCATTAATATGTTTGCCAACCAGTAGCTGGGTTGATAGTATAATTAGAACCAAGCGGACAACTGGACGCTAAGTGTTTGCCACGTGGCTGCAGCTTGGTTCTAATTATACTATTATCCCACCCGTCGGATGGCAAACATATTAATGAATTTCAATTTGTGCCGATCTAGAAAGCAACTTTCGTTAAATAAGGCAAGTCTGAAACTTCATTTATTAAGTTCACGTTCAAGATGGAAGGATGAGAGATGTCTGAGACAATAGGAAATTTTGACATCAATGCCCATTCAATATCCATTTTTCTCTTTTAAAAATAAAATTAATATTCCATTCAAGTCAAAAAAGTTCAAAGAAGAACATCAATTCATTAATGAACGGAATCATTAAAACAACTTGTTACTTAAGTCAATAAACTCATTTAGAAACTCAATAAAGATCAATATGATTGAAAGATTTTGAACTTTTATGATATCGATGAGCATTTAATGTAGTTTGGAAACTTTTTCGTTAAGAAATTGATGATAATTAATGAAAATTTAATTAAATTTTTTTTCTGTTGTTGCTAATGGAACAGGCGCATAGCCAGGGGGGGGAGGGGTGGTATTTGGGGGTTGAATCCCCAACGTAAACAGAAATTTATTTATTTTGCTAGGGTTTTTATCACAAAAATCCCCCCCCCCCCCAAAAATTTTTCCAAACAAAAAAAAATGTTTGTCCCCCCCTCTTCAAATTCCTGTCTACGCCCCTGTAATGGAACAAAAAGGGTAGGGGGCAACAAAAAAACAGCTTTGAACACTGTTTTGCTTTCTTCCGGCCGGTGTTCATCCCATTTTCATCTTCAAAATAAGCCTCAGCTAAAGTTTTACAATTTTCATTTAAACAAAAAAGGTTCTTCATCCAAAAAAGTTTCACATGCCTAAGGTCTTAACAAAATATTATTCTTATAAAGCATATAATTCTTTACGTTGATTAAACATCACATTAAAGCTTACAACATCACATTGTAAATCCCAAACACTTTTAACTAATTGAAGCTATTAGTTGTGAAACCTCTAATTCTTACATAGAATTCCTTTCAACCAGCATAATTAAATGACATTGTATTCCAAGGTAGATTGCGACATTATATATCACTTAATACTATTAAATAAGTAGGTAGGTAGGTGTGGAATCAAGAGATCATTATGATAATTTTAATAAAATCGCAGTGTGAAATTTAATAATGTTGGCACTTCATTAATTAAAGTAACATTAAATTTTCCCATGTGGAGCACGATTTCTTTTGTGTTGCGGTATTAAATTCGCATTATCTGTAGTCAGTGGCGTAGCTAGGAGTAGATGATATCTAAGAATCTAAATGCTATAGCTTAAATCACAATTTTTGAGGATTAGAAACAAAACTTACTCCTAAATACACCTC